GGATAGGCATAGGGGGGGATTCGACTAGGAGTGAGAGTGGCCTTTCGCCGGAGTGACCTTTGGTGCGGGCACAGATGGGCCCCCAGATGGCCGACAGAGAAGCGGTAGCAGCGGCTTGCGCGCTTGTTTTTGTCCCCCCCGCGGTCCCAACAAGCCGCGCACCAAAGGTCACTCTTACCCAGGGTCACTCTTGCGTGTAGCCCAGGGATGCATCGACCCCCAATTGCCCATAGATCGCCGATAGGGGCCCGATAGCCCCAACCTACCCAGGAAGGTGCGGATTCACTATAAGGGGCCCATCGCCGATCTATCGGAGATGTATCGCCTATTCGAGGTTGACGTTTCCCCCCCTATGCCTATCCTCCCCTTATCGTTGCCCCTCATCCTAGGACACTGCGGCCCTTGGGAAAGATCTGGTATTCTCTCGCGTGTCGTCTCCAATCACAAACGGCTGTACTGGAGAGGCCTTGCGGCCAGTTTCGCCGACCCTGAAGGGGGGATTAGGAGGCCCCAGGAAGGCCGCGAGAGAGCCGAGCAACGCACGAAGGCACCCAGATGACTATCCCCAAAAGGCATCAAAGAGCACCTCGGGACTGGAGAAGAGACAACACCACCGGGCCACCTCGATCTCTTTGTGGCCGGACAAGTGTCTCTTGGGGTGCTTCTCTGATGCCTTTTGGAGGGATCTCGGGGGTCTCTATCCTATATGTTTTCGGATCCTTGGGTTGTAATGTACCTTGAACGCCTTCCTATTCCAATCGTTGAACAATCTCGCCGACAAGTGCATCGCGAACCGACGGTCCGAATTCCGATCTAGTTTGAACTCTGTCCTACGTCGTGCTTCTGCCCTTTTTTTCCAACCGCCGTGTACGAGGACGAAGAGGAGGAGGAGGAGGAGGAGGAGGAGGAGGAGGAGGAGGAGGAGGAGTGTCATGAGTGTCATGATTGCCACAGTCTCAGTGGCAGGGACTAGCGAGAGCCAGGGATAGGAGGAGGAGGAGGAGGAGGAGGAGGAGGAGGAGGAGGAGGAGGAGGAGGAGGAGGAGGAGGAGGAGGAGGAGGAGGAGGAGGAGGAGGAGGAGGAGGAGGAGGAGAGGGGGAGGAGGAGGAGGAGAGGAGGAGTAGGGGGAGGGGGAGGAGGAGGAGGAGGAGGAGGGGGAGGAGGAGGAGGAGGGGGATGAGGGGGAGGAGGGGGAGGAGGGGGAGGAGGAGATGATAACTTTGACGACTTTTCTCTGTCACGGGGGGCTTCCTCGGGGGCCCCCGTGTCGCCACGGCCAGCTTCGCCTCGGATCTCCCCGTCGGATCTGAACGCCCGAAAGGGGTACGGAAAGAATGGGTACAATGCCGAACGGCGGATCTTGCTCATTTTGAACAGGACTCGCTGTCCACGCCGCCGCGGCCTGTGTCCATTTGAGACAGAAGGCCGCCTGCTCAACAGCGGCCGCTGTTGGTTTGGGGCAGCATTTGTTGTTGGGCATTGTACCCATTCTTTCCGTGCCCATTTCGGGCGTCCAAATCGGAGCGCGCCCGAGGACAGGCATGTGGAATGGAAGGGGAAGCGAAAGGGCCAAAGGGAACGGTCGGGGCGGAGGAGGGGGCAGGGGAAGGAAAGGGGGCAGAGAAGGGGGGGAAGGAGTCGGGGAGAAGTCGGCGGCGCGCGAGGGGGGGAAATGAGAGGGAGCAGGCCTTCTCAGTGCTCGGCGGGGCTTCTCAGAAGCCCCCTGTCCTCCCGAGAAGTCTCCTGTGCCTTCGGGGAAGGCCCACAAAACTTCTCTGAAGGCCAGGGGGCTCACAAAGCTTCCTCGAAGGCCCGGGGACGTGCAGATCCCTGGATTCCACATCTTCTCTGATGTTTTCTGGATTTTCGTCTTCGCCCCCGGGGATCGACGACTGATTGTGTCTGTGCTTCTTTTCCCTCCTGAAGATCGTTCAACATCGATCGATTCCAGGTGCGCATGAATGGATTAACGAGATTCCCACTGTCCCTATCTACTATCTAGCGAATCCACAGCCAAGGGAACGGGCTTGGGATAATCAGCGGGGAAAGAAACATCGATCGATTCCAGGTCGCAGGCGGCGTTCCACGTGGCACGCCTTTGGCGGGGCCGCCGCCGCGCGAGAGCGCGGCGCAAGCCCGCCGGTGACCCACCTGCAGCACGGTGGGCGGCAGGCCCCTTCCACTATGTCGGGCCTGTCCTCCTACCGGGGGATTTTCGACGAAAAACCAAACATACTCCAAACATAGTTAAAAATAGTCCAAACATGGTCTGGTGACTATTTTTTGAATTTTGTTTTGCCATTTTGGGGATTTTTTTGACTATTCTTTAATTTTTCGTCGAAGGTCCCCTTGCAGGGGGACAGGCCCGACATAACCCTACAAGTGGGGGGGAGGAGCCGATGTCGTGCGGCGGCGAGCCTAGGGGGGAAGTGAGAAGGGGCTGAAACCCAGTTCTGCCCCCGAGCAGCGTGCGGCAGGCCAGCAGAAAGGGCAGCTGTGTGATGGTCGACGAGAGCGAGCCTGCTCCTCCACGACTCCCTCCGTACCCAGTGCAGCTGCCCAAGTCCATCCCACCCACCATCCCGGCGGCGAGCCAGGGGGGAAGTGACAAGGGGCGGGCCTTCTCAGAAGGCTCGGAAGTCCCCTGGCCTTCCGAGAAGTATGCCATCCCCGAGGGCACAGGACACTTCTCAGAAGGCGCGGGGGCTTCTGAGAAGTCCCTCCGCCTTCTCAGAAGGCCTTCTCCTTCTCATTGAACCTCTTCGCTCGCCGCCGAAAGCCCATCGGACCCACCATCACAAGGAAGCGGCACGGCAGCGAGCGCGGGGAGACTGACCGTGACGGGGGCCGTGGGAGGGGGAGGAGGATGACGACGACGACGATGATGATGCTGCTGCTGCTGATGGCGATGACGACGATTATGATGATGATGATGCTGCTTATGCTGATGCTGCTGATGCTGATGCTGATGCTTATGATGCTGATGCTGCCGATGATGATGATGATGCTGATGCTGATGATACTGATGATGCTGATGATGCTGATGGTGATTGTGGTGAAGACGAGTAGGATGATGCTGGTGCTGCTGCTGCTGCTGATGATGATGCTGATGCTGATGCTGATGCTGATGATGCTGCTGATGCTGGTGCTGATGATGGTGATGCTGATGTTGCTGATGATGCTGCTGATGATGATGCTGCTGCTGATGATGATGATGATGCTGATGCTGATGATGATGTTGATGAAGGTGATGGTGGTGAAGATGATGAACATGATGATGCTTATGATGCTGATGCTGCTGATGATGATGATGCTGATGCTGATGCTGATGGTGGTGATGATGCTAAGGATGATGCTGATGCTGCTGATGATGATGATGCTGAGGATTATACTGATGATGCTGATGATGATGATGCTGATGATGATGAAACTGATGATTATGATGATGACGATGATGATAATGATGATGATGGTGATGAGGATGATGATGCTGATTATGACGATGATGATGATGATGCTGATGCTGATGTGCTGATGCTGCTGCTGCTGCTGATGATGATGATGATGATGATGATGCTGATGATGATGATGATGATGATGATGATGATGATGATGATGATGATGATGATGATGATGATGATGATGATGATGTCGATGCTGATGATGCTGCTGATGCTGATGCTGATGCTACTGACGCTGCTGCTGATGCTGATGCTGCTGATGGTGCTGATGCTGCTGATGCTGCTGCTGCTGATAATGATATGATGCTGATGATGATGACGATGATGATGCTGCTGCTGCTGATGATGCTGATATTGATGAGGAGGAGGAGGAGGAGGAGGAGGAGGAGGAAGAGGAGGAGGAGGAGGAGGAGGAGGAGGAGGAGGAGTAGGAGTAGGAGTAGGAGGAGGAGGAGGAGTTCTCTCCTGCTTCCTCCCCTCCCCTTCCCCCCTCCTCCAGCTCCGCACGGCCCGGAGGGGCTGGCAGGTGGGGAGAGAATTGCAAGCCTGAAGCATATCCCTATCCCTAGGACTGGCACTATTCGGCGGCGAACGAGGGGGGGAGTGTGAAGGAGAAGGCCTTCTCAGACGGGGAAGGGAGGAATATGAGAGGAAGGAAGTCTCGTGGCCCCCGTCAGGGTCTGGCTCCCCGCTCTCGCTGTCCTGCTGCTTCCTTGTGATGGTGGGTGGGATGGACTTTCGGCGGCGAGCGAGGGCGGGAAGTGAGAAGGAGAAGGCCTCCTCCGAAGGCGCGGGGCTTCTCAGAAGCCCTCCAGGCCTTCTGAGAGGCTCGCTGTCTTCCAGGAAGGCTCAGAAGATTTTCAGACGGCCGCGGGACTTCCGAGTCTTTGAGAAGGCCCGCCCCTTGTCTCTTCCCCCCGGGCTCGCCGCCGAGGCGGGCGGGGGAGAGTTGCCAGCCTGAGGCAGACCCCTATCCCTAGGACTGGCATTTTGTACCTCATTCCAGTGCCGATTCGAAGGTTCCCGCCAGTCTCCGAGGACGCTCCTGAGATCGCAATCGTCTTGGGCTTCTCAGTCTTAGGGGTACCCCGACGTGCGACGTCGTGTTTTTTTCCACAACGTGGCTCTCCAGAGGTCTGGGCCACTTCCTGGGGACCGCTGCTTCTCGCCCTGAGCCGTGTTCTGGACGGTCTTGAGGCACGGCGAAGGCCCACAGAGGCCAGGTCAGCCCACAGCGGCCCGTTGTGTTTCTGTTCTCGTCGCGGAGGTGGCTACAGTGGAGGCCCATGCCAAGAAGCACCCTGCTTGCCTCCAGGGTGCCTCGGGTTTCGATGGTTTTGCGATGGAAACAGCGTGACGTTCCCACGCCAAACATCGATGGGCGTCCTGGGGTCTCAGGGTTGGGTTTCTTGTGGAAGGTTGCTTGTGGACTGGCCTCCACTGCATGGCAGGGTAGGGATGAGCGCGAGGCTGGTTGGAAAGGTGAGCGGCGGGGGGCCGTTGCGACGGGAGTTCCCGCGGCCTTCCCCCCCTGGGAGGCGCGTCTTCCTGATGACGAACGCGGCGTACGGCGGGGCCGACGTGAGGGCCCTGGCTGCGGAGCTGAGCGGATTCGAGGCCGGGCGGGGTCCAACGTCGAGAGGCAGGCAACTGCCAGCCCCGACATCCTCGCACGAGGAAACATCACGACCTGGCAGATCTCAGCCTCCTGGGGCCCTGAGGCCCCCAGTCAGGTTCGGGACGGTCAAACAGGCGCTCGCGACGAGGCCAGCCCCCGGGCAGAGGTTCGGACCTCTCGGGGGGCCGCGTTGCGAACAACAGGCGGCGTCGGATGTTCGGGAAGCTACGAAAACGTTGGATGCACATGATTCGCAGCGCCCCCATCTAATGCCCAAGAGGCATCTCTGTATGCTTCGCCGGGGATGCTCTTCCATGCAGCACGCCAAACGGCCAGACGGCTATCGATGCACGTCCGTGCCTTCCCTCCCCGGCGCTTGCTCGCAGTGTTCTCGTGCTGTTTCCGCGGGCCCGCCCAGTGCTTTTCCCGTTCCCGCACGTGGGCGCTCCCGGGTTCCCCGTGCCCCGGGCGGGCTCGCCGTGGGCTTCGCCCAGTGCCCGCCAGCGGGCGCCTCTCGGGCGCTCGTGGGCGCTCCCTGCCCTGCCCGAGCTCGCCGAGGGGGTCGCCCGGCGCCCGCCCGTGGCCGCCTCGCTGGGCGCCTCGTGGGCGTCCCGTGGCCTCGCGTGCCCGGCCTCGCGGGCGCCTCGCGGGCGCCCCGTGCCCTGGCCGGCTCAAGTACCGTCGGCCCGCAGAGTGAGGATAGGCACCCCTCCCCAGGGTACCCTTGCATCCTTGCTTCTGGGGCCCCTCCTCGGACGCTCTCGTTGGCCGCGCCCCGCTCGAAGCGCCTCGAGATGGGGAGTCCACGGGCCTCGCATCCTTGTCGCGCCTCCTTACTCTGCGGGTTGACTGCAGCTTGCACATCGTGGCTCGCATCGGATAGCTTTCACAGCACAACGTACACGGTGCAGACCAACACGCGGAGCTTGCACAGTTTAGCTCACACCACACTGCTCACACAGCATGGCTTACATCATGCAGCTTGCCCATATACTATTTCACACAAGTCAGGTTTCACAACGCAGCCTGCATAAAGCTTACGCAACATATCTGAGACCACGTAGCATACTCCGTTACTCCGCTTAGCTTTCTCCTGCGCAGTGCAAACGCCCACCGTTTGGGGTCCACGATGGCTAGCACACTGATGTATTGAGTTCGATATTTTGCTTTCGGCCCCCTGGCCCAAGCGATGTCCAGTAACGCTGCCGAAGCGGAGAACCCTTTGTTTTTGCGACATCTGGCATAGGATCAGCGGCAATTTCTGGCGAGTATATAGCCTCGCCAAAAGCAAGATGAAGTACATCCAAGAATCATTGAATAGTAATTACGTGAGCGACGGTCCACTATGTCTTATTTTTCAGAGTTTATGCTTCCCCCGCCTTCAGATACCAGGGCGGCTTAACACATGACGCGGCTGGCTTGGTCGTGGTCTGGATTTACATATTGTTGTATTTGTTTCCAGCGCTTGGCCTACGCATGGTCGGGCACGCAACGCCCGAACACGTGTGTCCAGCGCGTGGCCGTGACCTCCTCCACATGCTGTGTCTGTGTGTCTGTGTGTGTGTGTGTGTGTGTGCGTGCGTGCGTGCGTGCGTGCGTGCGTGCGTGCGTGTGTGTGTGTGTGTGTGTTTGTTTGTTTGTTTGTTTGTTTGTTTGTTTGTTTGTTTGTGTGTGTGTGTGAATGTGTGTGTGTGTGCGTATGTTTGTGTTTGTGTGTGTCCAGCTGCCAGGGCGTCCCTGGGAGCGCTCGAAGGGTTTCCCGCCCCAGCTGTGTGCGACGGAATGGCTGTGTGTGAATGTGTCTGTGCGTGTGTGTGTGTGTGAATGTGTGTGTGTGTGTGTCTGTGTGTCCGCAGTCACTGGCTCAAGGCATTTGGCTCAAGCCGCTCTTGCTCGAAGGACCTTAGCAGGCTTGTTGCGGCCGGGGCGGCGGCCAGCCGCCTGCCCGCCTGGGTGCCTCCGCGGACGATGAAGACCGCCGCGGAGTGGCGCCGCCAGCAGCAGCGTGCTTCTGCCGCGGGCGACCCTGCCGCCGCGGGCGCCGCGGGCGCGGTGGTTGCCGCCGGCTCTTGGGGCGCCGCGGGCGCCGTTGGCGCCGCCGGCGCGCCCCCCAGGCGCAATTCTCTAGAGGCGTTTGTGTTTGGGCAAAAGCTCTGCCCGCCGGTAACGCGGGCGCCGCGGGCGCCGTGCACGCCGCTGGCGCCTGGGGCGCCGCTGGTGACGCGGGTGCTGCGGGCGCCGCGTGCGCCGAGGGAACCGAGGAAACCGCGGCGGTTGGCGCTGCCTGCGCTGCGGGCGTTCTGGTCGCGGCTGGCGCCTCAGGCGCCGCGAATGCAACCAGTGCTGTTGCCGCGCTGTCGCTATCCGCGTGGATCTCGCCATGAAGGGCGGCATTGTCGTCGGATCAGTCTATCTGGTGGACAGGGTGGGGTTTAACGGCGGCGCTGTCACGCGCGTCCATGAGATGACGGACGTGGCTCTGCATCATCGGAGGGGCATGCTGCCTGAGAGGCTCATGCGTGCAGGCAACGCCCAACGCGCGGCGGGCGTGCTGGTGTTCGTTGACGAGGGGGCGCGCAGGACCACCGCGCAGACGCATTCCAACCTGGACTACTGGTGGACCTCGCCAGCCATCGCGAAGGTTGCGAACAAGCCGGCGCCAGCCGACGGGTGGTCCGCCACGGTGCACTACCCGATGATCATGCGCATTCCGAGTTTCCTAGACAGCTACGAGCGATGCAACATCATACCCCCCCCCCCCCGGCATTTCGCAAAGGGGAAGCCCGACATCGAGGTGTGCGAGGTTGTGCGCGAGGTTGGGTGCGAGGTGCGAGAGGTGGGGCGCGAGGTGTGGCGCGCGTGGCGGCGTTCGTAGAAGGCGTCGGTATCGCGCGGAGTAGTCGCAGTGAGCTCATTGATGGCTCTTGGGCCGACGTCGCGACTGGCGCGGAGGTCTGGCTATCGCAACTCTACGACGCGAAGGTCGACCCAGCCTGCGTCGGGGGGGCGGAATGGCCCAAGTACGGCGAGAGGGTGACCGGCGGTGCGTTTTCGATATCGTGCCCCGCGGCATCGCGCCCCGCGGGGTCGCTGCGCGATCTGCGGCAGTCGGTCGATGACCACCGCGTCGCGCGCGCGATGGCCCAAGGCCCGCTGGCGGCTGAAGCGCGGGGAAAGTTGCGCGAGGCGCTCTCGCCAGAAGCCCCGTCGGCAGCAGCCCCCGTTGACGTTGCCTGCCTCGTGGTGAACGTGCCAATCGTCGAATGCACTGCGCCCCGCTCGCTGCGGCGCGGGCCCCTGGCGGGTTCGAAGCGTGGCCGGGTGGACTGGTCCGCCGCCGAGAGGGGCTCATGGTCGCTGGAGAAAGAAGGAAAGACCATGCGGAGCGGGCCTTGCGCATGCCCAAGAGTAATCTCAAGACTCTGCGCGCGACCACTGGGCAGTTGAGCCGGGTCGCAATCCCAGCGGCCGCGAAGCGCGGCCAGGCGGCGACGCGCGTCCCGCCAGGGGGGGCAGACATATGCGGGGCGCGATGCAGAGGCGCGGGGGCGCGGGCCGCCATCTACACCGAAGTGGTTCATCGTTGTGTTAGGCGCCCGCGACCCGCAGATCGTTGCCTGGGTGGGGTTGATTTGCCGCGGGCCATGCTGGTTGCCGAGATAGAGTCGAGAAGCAGGTCGCGCTGGGTGCGTGGATGGAGGGGCGGCGGAGTTTGAGGGGCGACGGCGACCGGCGGGTTAGAATTGCGGGGCCCATTGGAGGGGCCACCGTGGCGGCCAGAGCCATGGGGTGGATCTTATCCGCGCAGGCCCCATGGAGGACGCACAAGGGTGATGCGATGCTCTTCGATCGCGATGCGCCGCCCGCAGTGCAAACATTGTTGACGCTGGGCGCAGCGGAGGCCAGATGGCGCGACTTGGCCACCGGCACCGACGCGGTGCCGGTCGGGGCCTCGCCACCTTGGGCGGCCGAGGGTTCCAGGTCCATCGCCATGGGAGCGCGCCTGAGCCGGAAGAGGGTGATGGCCCGCGGGCGCGCAAGCTACGACAATGCTTAGTGCGCGGCCACATCGGCGCGCTACATCGCAGCCTCTGGCGGCGTATCGCCGCGGGGGACCCCAGTATATCTTCGCGGGCGCAGTTTCGAGCCAGAGGTCGCGCAGGGGGCGCGAGGGGCGCCGGGCGACGACCGTTGCTGGGCGGGGGCCCTGATGTCGCGGGCGGAATTGCCGCGGCCATCCCCGACAGATGACGGCGGGGGCCCCGGTGGCTTCCTCGCGGGGGGCGTCTGCTGTGACGGGGGCTGTCGGGGGCGATGGTATGGGTTCGTGGCCGACCGCGCTGCGTGGGGCTCCGCGGCGACTGTCAGCGGGCAGGCGGTCGCGGGCATGCGCGGCGCGCCCCCTGGCCAAGCGCAGGCCCCGCCGAGGGTGGAGTCGCATGCCGCCCCGCGGGCGACGCGGGATGCGGCGCCCCCCGTCGGGCTGCGATCCGACTGCCTGCCGTTCGCGAAGGGCGCGCAGCTGGAGATTCCCCTGGCTACGTATGTTGAGCATGAAGGACGTGGAGGGGTTTGAGTGGCGCGCGTTGCAGGCTGGCATTCAGAGCGCGGGCCAATGCGAGACAGGCAGCGATTGGGCGGGCCCCGCGGCAAACCTTGGCGCGAACCCGCGCGACGTCGGCGGCTCCGCGGTCAAGCGCGGGCCGAGCTCAGGCAGATCTGGCAGCTTGCGCGCCGCGTCGCAACTGTCTGGGCCGGGCCGCCGAGTGGCGCGCTGCAGCCCGGCAGGGTGCCGCCCATTAAGGGGGGGGCGGCGCGCTGGGCGAGGTGGGGGGGGTTCAGCGGCAGGCGGGACTTCCCAGACGCGGCCCGCGCCTGCCACGCATCCCAGCGACTGTCGCGCCACGCGTCTGGCAGGGCGCCCGTGGGGCACCCTATGCTGCGGGGGGAAAGCATGGGCAGAAAAGAGGGCCGAGGCGCTGGGGGGCGCAGTCGGGGGCAGCTGCGACCGCCCGTGGACCCAGCGGCGGGCGCTCAGGCGAAGGGCAAAGTAGCCAATCAGAGGAGTTGCCCTGAGCGCAGTGGGCGGCCAGCGAGGAGCGAAGCGACCAGGGCGGCGCCGGCCGACAGGAGAGCCGCGCGGAGGCGTGCTGGGACCCAGCTCATCGCTGGGCCGCTGCCGCGGTGCCCTGCGGATGCCGCGGGGCGTGGTCTGGGGCGCGGCCGCGGTCGCCCGACGGCCCCGCGGCCCCGCCAGGAGCGGGCGGCAGCGCTGCCGTCGGCGAGGACAGGGGCGACTTCGTCAACGCCAGGGCGAGGGCCTGGACGGCGAGGGGAAGGGGCCAACTGACCAAGATGGTGGAACCGCCGGCGGGGAAATCAGAGGCTGCGGATGCTGGGCGCAGGGTGCTCTGCAGAGCGCTGCGCATAGGGCCCAGGTCGTGGGCCCCCGGCCCAGGCGCCAGCGGTGAAGACGCGCGCGGCGGAGTTGATTGGGGGAGGCGGTGCGTCTCTTTTGCGTGCAACCTCGCCGTGCGCGCGGCGGCCTTCGGCGACTCGTTCGAGGGCGGCGGCGGCGCGGTGGGGTGGCTTAGCGTGGCAGAAGGAATATTCGGCGGCGCGTGCGGGGCTGGGCAGCAAGCGGCGGCGCGGCGCTCCGAAGGCCAGCCGCGGCCCTGCTGCGGTCACCTCGCACATGGGTCGCTTGCGCCTGTCGGTTCTCTTGGCCCTGGGCGCATTCTTCGGCTGCGCCAGTGTGGGGGGGGGGGAGGGGCACTTTGGGGGGGAGTGATGGCAGGAGTGAGGGGTTCCTTCCTGGACAGCGCCGATGCCCCCAAGATGGCCCCTGAGATCTTCCCACGGGCCACCCAGAAGCCCGCCATGACGCACCTGGGAGGCTTCTCAAAGGCCCCCGCGCGGCCGCCAGGACCAGCCCAGGACGGCCCCAGAACTCGGCGAGATTCTGTTCATGTTCGGCATTATGCAGCCACGTCTCTCTCTCTCTCTCATTTTTTGTTTTGTTCCTCTCTCTCTCTCTCTTTCGCTCTCTCTCTCTCTCTCTTTTTTTTCTTCTCTCTCTCTCTCTCTCTCTCTCTCCAGCCGCGGCCGCCTTCCCCGTCGACTGCGGCAATGGCTCGCCCCCCCCCGGGCGTGCAAGTCGTTGTCAGAATGCGCCAAGCGTCTCGAACTCGTTTTCCCTCTCACGGTCGGCCGCCCGACCGGGCTCTGCTCACAGAGCCTCCATCAAACGTGTGCCCGCGAGTGCAAGCGAGGGGGCGCTCGCTTGACAGAAATGGCAGACGATGACATATAACCTGCAAACATATTGTCACGCACGCACTTGCATGTACAACGGTTCCATCACGGAACCCGTGCCTCGAGAACAGGCCCCAGACAACTCCAGAACCCCGTAGGGTACACCAATTGGGACCCTGCACATAAAGGCCTGTACACACGGTGGCTCATATGTGTCACGTAATATGGATAACCTGCTCAGGCTTGCACTCTGAAGCTTGCACGGATAAGGGTTCTCCAAGCTCAGCGTGTTTCAGTCCATAAACTCTCCATCGCTGCTGTAATCAGAAATCGCATCGTATTCCGGGAAACCCACAGGACTGGTCCCAGCACATGCTGCAGCGTACGTGGCACCGTCTCCCGCATCTTCATGGCGCAGCACTCCAGGGGGAACGCTCTCGAACGGAAGGATCCCCGCGGCTTTCCGCTTCTTGGCGCTCTGGTACTTGGCGTCATAGACTAACTTCCACTTGTGGCCACTGTTGTAGTACATCCTCAGCTGGCCAGGCTCGTGCCCGTTCGTCAAAGAGTTCGCCAATTGAGCGTCTCCGTGTACCCACAGTACCCAGTTGTTGGATGCCGTCGACCCCTCCTTCAGGGTCATGGCCTCCACGTCCGTTCTCTTCTCCTTGCCCCGGAATATGTACACCGTGGTCTGCAGCTTGTCGAAGAGACCGCTGGGGTCCACCAGGGCGGCGGGCAGCTGGCTGAGTGTCCCCTCCGGGTTGCGCCAGTCGATCTGATTGCCGAGGATCTCCAACCATTGGAGTTTGACCCCGAACAGTTCGTCCTCACCGTCCACAGCTGATCGGGTCTCACATGACACTGAGCTCCGGCACCCTCGGTCGATCTTTCCTGACTTCCGTGATATCATGCTCACGTCTGATTCATCTCCCTGCAGGATGCGTAGTGGGGCCATCCCCGTGACAAGTCCCTTGGTGGATTTCCCGTCGGGGCGGTTCGCCTCCGAGGAGTCTGACCACTCGATGGGGACGATCACCTGCGCGTTAGCATGGCTGTGGATGACCACAGGGAGGTCTGCTCCCTCCCGCACCCTGTCCACCAGGCGGTTCGTGTCCAGGAGGGTCTGCACGGTGGAGGACGGTATCGTGCTTAGCAACAGGCTTGTGTCCGCCGAGTGCATGGGGCCTGACTGCTCGGAGCGCCAGCCGATGGCACCCAGGATTGCCCTCAGCTGCCCCTTCTCCTTGTCGGTGGTCGGGGCGTCCTTGTTCTTCTTCCGCTCTGGGCTCACGACTGCCTTCTCGATGGTCTTGATATACTCACTCTGATCCATCTTAAAGCTCATATCTGGCAGCTGCCGGATCCGGACTCCAGTCTGCATGAACTCGTCGGTCTGCCATGTCTTCCACTTGAATCGCTCTTCGATCTTCTTCCGGGCTTCAATCCACCTGGGGTCCGTCTCCTTCCCTCCGAGCAGGAAGTCATCCACGTGGGACCCTGCGATAGCCACAATGTCCAGATCACCCTTCGCCGCGATCAGCTCGCCCATCACCTCGGACCTGGTGAATTGGCCCAAGGCCTCCTTCGTGAAGCTGGTGTCCTGGCCGTGGGATTGGCCGTAGAGTACCAAGACGCAGGGGTCCATCTTCATTTGCGTCCAGCCGAACTCCTCCAGGGCCTCGCTCACCGTCATGAACCACTCGATGGCTGCCTCCACGAGCCCGTAGACTGCCTTTCGCAGTCGCATCGCAACCCCTTTTGGCATCCCCAGGGCCACGGCCAGCTCCTTCACGGGCATCACGAACAGGTCATGCTTGATCTCCCGGTTCTGGGTAAACGCTCCAGTCACGTCGGCCTTGTAACCCTTGAACCCGAGCCACGCCATTGCCTGCAGCACCAGGTGCCGGGAGGTCCTGGTCATGGTTGGGGCGGTCGTCGGCCGGTGCTCGTACTCAGGATCCATGTAACCCAAGACCACGATCCGGGCCTTGGGCTTCTTCTCACTCGTAGTCTCATCCATCTTCCACTCCAGGATCCACCGCATGCGCATTACATCCTCTGGTGGGGGTGTGACCCCAGGCGGCAAGGATTCCAGCACGGAGGATGTCACGTAGTTGTTCACCTCGGTGGCCTTGGCGACACTGAACTTCTTCATCTCCTCCAGGGTGAGGGTCCGCTCTGAGATCTCTCGCTTCCCTCTTTTCAGTTGGCCTGCCATGTAGGTGCTCATGTGCCTCGTGGCCTGCTTCAGGGGCTTTCCTGTCAGGGGCAGCTCGACCGAGATCTCCAGGGATGTACCCTGCCGTGCCCAGAAGGATCGTGCATCCGGGGATGCCTTGGCCATGAGAGCAGCCCTTTCCATCATGACATCCTCTGCCTGCGCAGCCCGGGTGGCCTTCACGATGCTGGCCACTCCTCCTGGCGGAGGTGCCTGCTTCCGAATCGCCCTGCGCACAGGGATCTGGTTGCGCTCGGACTTGGTCTCACTTGGCGGCTCCTCGTGGCGGGGCTTCTTCGCTGGAGGTGCTGGCTCCGGCACCCCCTCCCAGGATGCGAGCTCCTCGTCCTGCTCTGTGGGGTCGTGTCCCGAAAAGTCCAGGTACTCCTGCCTCATCGCCTGGTTCATGAACGTGTTCCCGGTCCAGGGCGTGTCCTTGCCCGCCATGAGCTCAGCGTAGGCGATCTCCCGCGCGGATGCAGCTCGGATCTGGCACAGGTCTACCTTGATGATGCGCCCGGCCACCAGACCACAGGTCCGGCACGACCTGGGTGCAATGTCGTGTTTGCTCCAAGGTCACCGTCCACGGGCCGGCTCGTCTCTGCCGCGAGTACCCGCGCGAGCCCTTTGAACCGGCCTTTGACCTCGCCTTTCTCCTTGCGGAAATAGTGCACCCACATGCCAGGTGCCACAGCTTTGAGCGCTTGGTTCTGGGCCTTCTCTGCTCGACTCAGGCGACGTAGGTACACCTGCCTCAGGTACTCCTGCTCGGCCGCGTACATCCTCGTGTAGTTCTCGCCGTACTCCTTGTCGACCCTTTGCGCCTCGACGTAGGGTAGCTCGTCGAAGTCGCTCTCGAAGAAATGGCCGTCCAGGTCAGGGGCCCTTCCCAGCGCGTGCTGCAGGGGGGAGTGGCCTCGTACGTCTTCCCGTGAGTTCCCGGCTGCGGTGGCACGGAACAGGGCCTCTTCGGTGGACATGTCAGGGTTCTCCGTCACGAGCTTATCCATCGTCCCTTTTGTTGCCTGGATCGCCTCTTCCGCGAGAGAAATGTGCCAGTGAGCCTGGCCGGGGATCGGCTCGTACCCGATGGAGTCTGAGTCAAAATACTGAGCGGCCTGCTTGGACATCCAGGAGCCCTCGGGGTCCACCTTCACGCGCTGTGGCTTCCCGAAGTATGGTAGCCACCTTTCCTCATAGAAGTTCTTGAGGTCTGCCCAGACGGGATTCCTGCGGCGGTCCTGGCCCACCATGTGGTATAACAGCTTGGTGACCCGGACCTTGCAGTTCTCGTCAATGATCAGCGAGAACTTGGCCTTGAGCTTCGTCCGGGGGTGTTCCCCCTCGAACTGGTCCGCCTGGATCTGCTTCCACTTCGGGGGTATTGCCTCGAGACTGACAGGCGGGTGCGTCGGGCGATGGTTGTTCGCCTCCTCGCACGCCTCGCAGTGGAAGTCCTTGGCCACCCTCAGCACCATTGAGCTCACTCCCTTCCTTTTCAGCGCATTCAGCTTGGACGCCTTGGAGCTGTGACCAGACCCTCGGTGCACAGACGTGAGCCACTGCATGATCTTCTGGTACTCTTTGGAGCCAGGGTCCTCGGCGGGTGAGTTCGACTCCTGGTGCTATGCCGTGGTGTTGCCCTCTCCGTCACCCTGTTCCGCACTCGAATTCAAAACAATCCGTTCGGCGCAACTTGTGGTGCAGCCTATACGTATTAGGCAATTTCGCGATTTGGTAGCCGGCGGGGTACGTGGCGCATCCTATGGCGAAACATACGACGCAATCCATGGCGGTGTTTGTGTGTGCGTCTGTCTGTCTGTGTGTTTGTGGCCGTGTGTGTGTGTGTGTGTGCCGCAGCTCATGGTGGGCAATCTTTTGAGGAATTGGCGAATCATTGACAGACAGAGGAACTCGCGATTTGGTAACCCGCGGGGCATGTGGCGCAAGCGAAACCTACGGCAGAACCAATGCAATGCAGACAGAACAGGGAAATCGTGATATGGTGGTCCGCGGGGTGTGGCGCAACCGAAGGCGCAACTTATGGCAAGCCCATTGAGGCAACGAACAATTCTGTGTCCGGTAGTATGGTGGATGCAACGTACGGCGCAATCACACAGGCATATGGTGATTTCAATTCGGAGGGGGAAATGGTACCCATACCCGTACCCTTTTTCCGTTCTCGCGTATTTGGGCCTCCTGGGAGGCCTTCGTCGCCACCGCTGGATTCCTCTCGAAATCCTGGTCAGAACGCACCATGGGAGAGGTCCAGGGAGTAGCGGTATCAGTACTTCTTGGTTTCCCCATGATTACTCGCGGAGTGTCTGGCACAGCATTCGGCACAACCCATGGCACAACCGCTGCTGCATCGGACGATCTGGTGGCCCGCGGGGTGTCCCCGGCGCAGCCGATGGCACAATCACTGGTGCAGTGGACGATTTGATTGCGCGCGGGGTGTTTGGCGCAACCTATGGCGAAGCCTGTGGCACACAAATTGAGGCAACGCACAATCTTTGTTCCCCCAGTGTGTGCGGGAGGGGACTGCGTGTGGGTGACGCACTCGTCAGGCCACTGTCTCCTACTAGGTCCTTCCTGGGTCGTGCCTTCCCCACCCTGTGGTCGTTCCCCTCTCGGCCCCCATCGCGTCCGTCCCCCCGCAAGTCATGCCGCGTGGTCCCTTGTGGGCGGGCCCAGGTCCCCGCTGCATGAGCTGGGCCAGCTCGCGCTCCTTCTGTTCTCTGCTTGACTCCGACTCACTCTGCTGAGCACTGCGTGCGTGACCGCGACGCCAAAAAGTGTGTGTGTGTGGCGCAACCCATGGCGCAACCCATCCCTGGCACACCCGCCGAGGCAGCAGGCGATATGGTGGCCCGCGGGGTGTCTGGCGGAACAAGCCGTGCTGCAAATTGTGGAGCGCCCTCTGAGGTATTTACGATCCTGTGTTTGGCGGGGTGCCTGGCGCAACCTTTGGCGCAACCATTCACTCGGGCTTCTGGCTCAATCCATGATGCAACCAACGGGGCAACCTAAGGTACATCCACGGAGGCAACGAACGATTTTATGGCAGAGGGTGTTTGGCGTCAGTCAGGTTGCAACATATGGTTGACCCGCCGAGGCAAGGCACGATTTGATGGCCCACGTGGTCTCTAGCGCTCATTCATGGCACAGCCTAGAGCGTGTTTCTTCATTGTTTGGGGCATAATGGGCATTATAGCCCCCGACCCCCCCTCCCACCTCTATAACGTAACGCCCCTCCCCCCCAGTGCGCTCCCGGCAATGCCGCCGTGCGCATCTGGCACACGGCGGGGGGGAGGCGTTACATTGTACCCCCCCGCGGCCCCGCCTCCCCCCCCTACAATGCCCATTATCGCCGAAAATAAAGAAACGCGCTCCTATGACACAATCAATGCGACAACAGACGAGTTGGTTGCACGTATGGGGGTGTCTGGCGCAGCCTGTGCTGCAGACGGTACGCCTGCGGAGGTGAAGTGCGATCCTGTGATTGGCCGGGTGCCTGGTACAAACATTGGCACACCCATTGACGTTGGGGTTTTGGCCCAATCTAGGATACAACCTATGATTAAGTCGGGCCTGTCCCCCTACAGGAGGTATATTCAAGAATAATAAAAAAATAGTCTGGGGACTTTTCGACAATCTGTTCTTCTTTTACTATGTTTGCATATTCTTTGGGTATTGTCAAATTTTCTTTCAAAATCCGCCTGTAGGGGGAAGTGGGGAGGAAGACGAAAACCCCGAAAATATTTGAAAATATTTGGACTCCTGGGATTTGTGTGTATTTATTTGTGTGTCCCTGGGCCCCTTCAGGTACAAACTATGAGGCAACACGTGGTAGATTCACAGGGGCAGCGAACGAGTTGGTGGCACGCGAGGTGTCCGGCGTCAGTCAGGTTGCAGCCTTTGGCGCACCCGTTGAGGCCACGCACGATTCGGTGGCCCGCGTGGTTTTTGGTTCAAAGTCTGGCACAATCTATGTCGTAACCAATGAGTCAACAGACGAGTTGGTCGCACGTGCGGGGTTTCTGGCGCAACCCATAGACAAGGGGATACACCACGATGCTGTAGGCGCGGGGTGCCTGGCACAGGCCATACGCAGTCCTGGACAAATCATGTTTAGGGTGTCTTGCTTGGCTGTGATGCGCCCTCTGGCCTCCGCCTCTCGAAGAAGAAGAACAACACATAACGACAAACTGTTTCCGCTCCGCGCGGATTTCTTGGATCCGCGCCTGGGCTCCCTAGCGGCGCCTCTGGCGCCGCCCCTGGTGCGCTATGCGCGCCAGGGAGGGGGGTCCAGCGCGAACCCAAGAAATCCGCGCGGAGCGCCAAACGTTTTTGTTTCTGTGGCTTGTTTTTCTTCTAGCCTCTTTCCTCGTGTTCCTGCTCCTTCCTCCTCGTGCCAGCCCTGTCTCCCGATTGTGAAGGCCTGACGGCCGGTGCCGCCGACCCTGAAAGACGTCGACGACGACCAGGAGGGGGAGGAGGAGAAGGAGGAGAAGGAGGAGGATCAGGACGAGGAGGCGGAGATGAGGAGGAGGAGGAGGACGAGGGAGGAGGAGGAGGAGGAGGGAGGGAGGGAGGGCGGGAGGGAGGGAGGGAGGGAGGAAGGAGGAGGAGGAGGAGGAGGAGGAGGAGGAGGAGGAGGAGGCGGAGAGAAGGAGGAAGAGGAGGAGGAGGAGGAGGAGGAGGAGGTGGAGGAGAAGAATGAGGAGGAAAAGGACTCCCCCCTGGGAGGTTCCTGCTCCTTCCTCCTCGTGCCGGCCCCGTCTCCCGATTTTTATGGTGGCAGCGCGAGCGTCGCTCGGAGTGCTGCTTTTCCCTCGTTCGCGTTGCTCGGGTCTGGGGCGCTCGCCCGCCAGCACTTCTTGAGAGTTTTTGCGGGAGCCGCCGTCTCCTTTCTTCTCGGCCTTAGGCAGTGGAGCTTTGCCTTGGAAGGGCGGATCGAGGACATCTCTTCGACGTCACCCCAACATACGTATATACTGTATGTGCGTCGCCCCCCACAGGGGCGACGCGCGCACCGAGAAATCTTACAGTATACGCGTCGTGGCGGGCGCTCTCTGGCCACGCCGCTCTGGAAACGATAGGCTACCAAGATGGATCTACTATATGTTCGAATCGGACGCGCGCCTCCAAGGAGGACATACAGTACTATCAGGCAGTGGCGAAGCGTCCTGGCTCGCCTATAGCCCTACCAAACAACGTTCGAATAACCTTTTGTGGTTTCCACGAAATGTTCTTAGAACATATCTGGTTGAGACTGTTTTGTATTAACACATCGGTTTTATGTTCTAAGAACATTTCGTGGTAGGACTATAGGAATGCCGGGTCCTCCTCCTCCTCCTCCTGCTCCTCCTCCCACTTCCTCCACCTCCGCCACCGCCGTCAGCAGCGAAGTCGGGTCGCACAGAAAGGATCAAGGCTGAGGTAGTAGATGGCAGGGAGAAGTCTCAGTCCAAATACAAGCCCACTGTTCAGGTAGAAGCCGACAGTGAGCAGACGCAGCCACCGCCGCCTCTTGTGGCAGTGAAGGCCGATCCCACAGATAAGGCTGCTCGCCAGGTAGAAACCGACAGAGAGCAGGGCCAGGATTTTAAAGTCAGGCATCAGTTCAAGCTTTTGATCTCGGATGTCTTCCAGCAGTACGAACCGCAGATGGATCGGTTGGACCATTTCTTGGAAAAGTACAACGGGCAAGAACAGTTTCTTTATTTGGCAGTATGCGAGAAATTCAATGTGGAGCCTAAGGTAAAGGTTCAGATCACCAAGAAGGAAGACAAACTTCCAGTTTTGGACAGCGATAGCGTGTCCGATTTACCTTCTGCCAGTAAACATGTCGACAGTCCTCGTTCGACTTCCCCAGAGCACGCTAGCAAGCGTGCGAAGGTTGGGCCCAGCGATGCCTCCCCTTCGAGTGGTATTGCCCCGTCCAGTTCAAGACCGCTGGAGTTAAAGTCAGGGTATCAAGATCAAGCACCTCCAGCAGAAGCTAGAGACACTCCAGGAGGAACTCAATCGTGTTAAGAATCAAAACGCAGCTTCAGGCAGTGCGCCTGTTCCTAGGAGGAGCAGATCCAGCTCAGACTCCACTTCTTCAGAGTAATTTGAGCAAATATGTTGGTAGTGTCCAACTTTCTTTCAGCGGCAGAATGTTTATTGCATCTTGGGCTAAATGGCAATTCGATTATTGGCTTGGTGAGCATAATTCATCGGCTACAGGTTTTGGTCGAATCCTTTTGTGTTGATCCTTTGCGTTTGGGTAGGACAGTTGTCAGCTACCCAGCGTTCGTTTACCTTCACGTCTTGTTTCTTGGCCAGATCGGCAGAACTGTGAAGCAGGTAGCTTACCTGCAGTTTCTTTTCATGCGCTAGTTGGGCAGCTGTATTCAGCCCAGTTCATTTTACTTTTCAGGGGTCCAGGAAAGTCTGGCGAAGTAATCCCCTATTATTCTCTCTTCCCTTTGGGGAACGGAGGTCTCGCTCTGCTAGGGGACTCCCATTAGTTTGTGGGAAGAAAGTTTACCCCAGTGCTTTGCAGTCTTGATCTCCTTCCCCTTCCCTTGTCCTTCTGTCTTCCCCCTCCCTCCTTCCTCCCTCCAGACAGTTCAGGGGATTGGCAGCCAGGTCGCAGGCGAAAGCAAGTGGCCTTCCCTGGCGGGTCTTGCCATGGTCTCACCATGCTCGAAAGTCCGAACCTGCAAGTTGGCGTTCAGGGGTTGCTCTTGTCTTGGGTGGGGGTCATTGGTGGGTGGGATGGGATTCTCCCCCCGTTTTGGGGAAGTTCTGCATTGTTTCTTCTGGCCTGGGAACGGCCCATTAGAAGGTGGGCAGCGTTTAACCCGGGCGAGTTGTGTTTTATGCATGTCCTTCTCCTCCTCTCCTCTTCCTGGGGTAGGGTTCTTGGCGCCGACTCGGAACTGGCAACGCCCCAGGCTTGGACTGGGGGTCAGTTGCTGTCCGCGGAACGTGCTTGAGCTTTAGTCCAGCCCCGAAGCGAATGTCAAAAACAAAAAAATATCCTCCTCCTCCTCGTCTTCCTCCTCCTCCTCCTCTTCCTCCTCCTCCGCCTCCTCCTCCTCCTCCTCCTCCTCCGTACCGGTATGTCCCTGCGCGTCCCATTCCTCCCTCGGCGGAAGGCCCAGCGGGGCGTCGGCGGAGGTGGGCCAGGGGCGCCCTCTGCCGGCGGAGGTACGGCGGAAGCGGGTGGTGGCAGCAGCTGCTCGAACCCAGGAGGGTCAGGAGGGAACAGAGACACACAGACACAAACCATCGTCGATTCCCAGGAAAGTATGCGAAGATATGGGAAATGAGGGGGGAGGACGAACGTCCCCCAAATATGGACAACTACTGGGGAGTCCTAGGATTTGTGCGGATGTATTTGTGTGTCCCTGGGCCCCTTCAGAGAGGTCTGCGCAGTGGCACCCACGGGCTTCGAGCCGGCCGGCCAGGTTCAGGCAGGTATGTGTGGACACAGCCAGGGGTTGCTTGACCTCGCTCTTCATGATCAGCTTGTCAAGCTTGCCCTCCTCGGTATCTCTGGCAGGCCACAGACGAGTGTCCACTCGCGCCACGCTCCGCGAGTTCGTCGGCCCGGTCGTTCGAGAGGAGGCCCGTGTGAGACGCTCCTTTCCGCCACGCTTATCATCGAGAACAAAAGAACCACTAACGTTACTAAAACCACGAAGACGTGGATTCATTGAGGCCCCTATCTTCGTATTAGGGATCATATATCTGGGCGGTTTGGTCTGGTAATCTGCATAAGAGGCCGTATCTCTAATGTTTTTCGGTCCTCCTAGCTTAGGTCACCTCCCAGATGGTTCGGGAGCCTTTCATGGTTGGTCAACTTGGGGAATCTGGGATGAGGGCCGCCCCCGAGCGTGCGCGGTCGCTCTACTGCAGCACTCTGGAACGCTGTTCGGAAGTGCCGCGGTTTCCGGTGCCCTTCCCCAGGCCCGCCAGTTCGCTCATGTATTCCCGATCCCTGTCCTCGCCTCGCCACCCACCAGGCCACCCCAACCCAACCAGAAGGCCCCAATTTGCCCTCCATGCCCAGTGTGGGGGGGTTGGGGAACATGGAAGAAACACACATATCACAAGCCCGTCCCCGTCCCCCAACCCGAAATTTGGGTCTTCGGGTTGGATCGGGGTGGTCTGGTAGGCAGTCCTCACCCGAATTCGTCCTCGTTCTGCGCCGTCTCGCAGCGAAGAGTGCCAGGGGCGGCGCCCTAGGCGTCGAGTAGGGGATCGACTACAGAACTGATTAACCCCAACAATGTTTTTTCTCGTCGCATCTACGAATACGAAGAATGCTCGTATTTCAACGGGGCAATCTACGTATTTTATGTAGGCTCGACTGGAACATAGGTAAGTCAATTCTGTAGTCGATCCCCTACTCGAGGGCGCCGCGAGGGGGTCCATTGCCAGAAGTCCTCGCGGACCTCTCAACGTTTGTATGCTTTTGCTGTCTTTTGCTCCTCCAGGTGGTGCAGGCCCCGGTCATCCCGGGCGACCGCCACCAGCTCCGCCAGTTGTGCGTAGAGATGGCTGTGGCGTCCGCCGCGGACTTCTTCGTTGCCTTTGGGGACGGCCTGGCGCAGGGCATGGCCTCCATGCCGTCGCTCCTGGTGTTGCAGCTCAGGCTGCACACGGCAGGGTGGCCTCTAGAGAGCAACGCCTTCTCGTTCGTTGAGGATTGGGGGGCCTGCTCTTGTACACGTAGATGTACATCAGTGGATGGTGTACATGTGCACCATCCGCTGATCCAAGTACATGTTTTTCGGCGTCACCCCAACATACTTCTACTATATGTGCGTCGCCCCCCACAGGGGCGACGCGCGGACCCAGAAATCATACAGTATATGCGTCGTGTCGGGCGCTTTCTGGCCACAACGCTCGGGAAACGATATGCTACCAAGATGGATCTACTATATGTTCGGGTCGGACGTGCGCCTCCAAGGAGGACATCTAGTATTAGTATGCCTTTGTGCGTCCGATACATCATGTGCATCAGTGGATAGTGTACATGTACACCATCCACTGATCCATGTACGTGTTTTCGTGGATTCTTTGAGCTTTTCCAGCCCCGGGGCGCCTGCCATCGCGTCTGCGATGCCGTCGCCGTGGCAAAACGGGACCTTGTCAATGCCGAACTCGAAGCGGGATTTGTCTATCCGACCGATTTCTCGGCCCCCTCGCAGCTATATTTCAGCGAAAATCCTCGGTCGCCCCGCAAAGTTTTGTCCGATGACCACAGGGCTCTCGGGCTGGCAAGATTTGGTGAGACCGTAGTCGAGCCCGGATTCTGCCGGGGCCGAGTTCTCCCGGGCCCCTGAGGTCCGAGCCGCCGCCAGGCGTCTCGGTTGCCGCTCGGGGCAAGAGCAGCCGGGCCCCGAGGGCCAAAACGCGGGGGGGCTCTCGTGCTGCGCGCCCGGGCAGCCGCGCGGCGACCTCTCTCGCGCGCCCTCCGTGGCTGGGGCCCAGGCGGGCGCCGGGGCGGGCGGGCCAGGCCAGGGGTGGTCCTTCTCGGTGTGGGGGCCGCCGTGCGGGTCGCGATCCGCCGGGCTCTGGAAGCGCAGTTCCGAGCGCGTGAGCCTGGCTACTCCCGGGGAGCAGCGTGGCGCGGGGCTCCCGGCGGCAGGAGCTCCCGCGTGCCCCCCAGACTCAGAGTCTCGGCGGTCGACGCGCGGAGCGAGGGGCGGGCGGAGCGCGGGGCGGACCCCTGCTGCATGGCGACTCAGATTGGAGTGCTGACGGGGCTGGCTGGGTCCTTGGGAGGCCTCTCGAGCGGGGTCGGTCTGGGCCTGGCCTGGCCAGGGCCCGGGTTGCCATCTGTGCCCGAGGCTCGGGGGCGCCCCGGGCAGGGGCGGGGCCTGGCGCCCTTGTCCGACCCCCCGGCTCGCCGGGAGACCCCGGGGGCGGGGCCGGCGAGAGGGTTCCAGCCGCGGGTGAGGGCGCGGGAGTTCAGCCGTTTCAAGTTCCTTCTTCTGTCCCCCCCAGCTGCTCCCCCTCCTCCCGCCCCCCTTCCTTCCATCTCCTGGCTTCGGGGGGGGGAGGGCGCTTCCGTCGGCCCGAGGGCGATCCGCGGCGCATCCGCGTCGGCCGTCAGGGCGCGTGAGAGACGGGCGGCCCCCCGCGGGTCAAGAGGCAGCGCGTGGAGGGCGTCCACCCCCGTCCCTTTCACCTCCTCCTCGGTTGCCAGCGGTGACGGCGATGGCCCTGGGGATACATTTTTCTCCTCACCGCTCTCCTGCTTGTCCGGGCCAGGCCGAGGGAATGTGGCCTCTTGTCCAGGGCGGGAGGAGGCCGTCGCGCCGTGGCTGAGCGAGTTCAGGAGATTGGGGGGCGGCGGAGGTCACGCCCCCCGCCCCGGACTGTGTCCGAGTTTGACGAGTATGTCCCGTTCGAGGTTCAGTTTAGCGTTTCGAGCTGCCATGCGTAACCAATGTGGCTCAAGGGGTAAGTATATGTATGTTTAGTTCTTCTGCTCCCGAACCTGGTCCAGGATGGGCAAGGACCTAACAGCTATCCGCGCCACCCCAACATACAAATATTATGTGTGCGTCGCCCCCGTGGGGCGATGCGCGCGCCGAGAAACCTTATAGCATAAGCCTCGTGGCTAGCGCTTCCTGGCCATGCCGTTCGGGAAACGACACACCACAATTTGCCTGTCCTATGTGCCCGGGTCGGGCGCACGCCGCCGAAGAGGGCGCATAACACGAGTCTACCCGTCAACGTCTCAGGATATGTTCAACGGTGTCGGGGTGCTTATTATGTGTATGAAGCCCGCCACCCACAGAGGACCCCGAGGACGCCCTGGGCATTTGAGCCGGGGGCGGCAGGCGCCGGTGCCCGGCGCTGGGTTCAGGGCCAGCACCAGCTCCCCGCGGAGCTTTGCTCTTGCGAGTGGCGCTAGAAGGTACAGCGAAGAGGAGGAGGAGGAGGAGGAGGAGGAGGAGGAGGAGGAGGAGCTGGAGGAGGAGGAGGTGGAGGAGGAGGCGGAGGAGGAGGAGAAGACGGAGGAGGAGGAGCCGGTGGTGGTGACGGAGGCAGAGGCGGAGGCGGAGGCGGAGGCGGAGGCGGAGGCGGAGGTGGAAGCGGAGGTGGAGGCAGTGGCGGAGGAAAGCGAGAGGCTTGGTTTTCACGTGTCCAGGTCGCCCAGGCGGATGTTTGGCATGAGGATGCGTTCAGGTTGTCTCGAGCGAAACGCTTGTCTTCGCGTGTGCAGGTCGCCCAGGCGGATGTCAAGCGGGGGGATTTGGGCAGGATGTCTCGAGCGAAACGCTTGTCGCAGTAGAGCGCGTCGCAGTCCGGCCCCGCCCGTCCGCGGGGTGCCTCCTGGCGCGCTGGCGCGCCCCCTCGCGCGCCCCGTACGACGTTCTGGCGTGGCGTGCCCTGGCAAGCCCCCTAGCGCGCCACTCGGCGTGGCGCGTTCCCTGGCCCGTCCTCGGTCGCGTTTTCCTGGCTCGTCCCCAGGCGCGTCCCCTGCCCGTTCCGTGGCGCGCCCCTTGCAACGTCCGTTGGCATGGCGTCCTCGGGGCGTCCCATGGCACGCGCCTTGGCGCGCCCCGCGGCAGGTCCCTGACGCGTTCAGGGGGCGTCCCCTGATGCGTCCCCCGGCACGCCCCCTGCCGCATCCCCTATTGCGCCCCTAGCACATCCTGTGGCGCGTCCGTGAGCCTGTGCACCGCGTCGTGTCGTTCCTTTTCGGAGCTTAGTCGGATTTTGAGGCCGAGTTGATTGGCCGTCTCGCATTTTCCCACTTCAACTATGGGGCAGCTACTACGTGTTCGGACAGCTCGAGCTTAATATCCAGATCAGTCGGGTCAGGACTCGGGTGCAAAGGAGAATCCGATCCGCAACGCCATAGACCACACATCGCGGCTTGGCACATCGCAAGTCAGCACGGCGCAGCACGGCGCAGCCTTTGGCACGGTACATCACGATCGATGCACTCAGCACTGCAATTGCCTGTCGACCAATCAGGTGTCTTGAGCGCGTTGCCATGCCTCACGTATCTATATCCGTAAGGGCTTCGCCCCCTGCCGCCGGCCCCCTCTCTCGGATAATGGGCAATGCAAGAGCGAAATCATGAGGCTTTGGCGCAGCCGTGAAGCAGCGTCGGGACTTCACGCGAAGACGATGAGTAACCGGCAAGACAAATTGAGATTATGATGATATTGTTGAATTCGGTGTTGCAGTTCGAGATTGCTCGCGTATGCTGTGTAACAACTTTTCTGCGAAGAATTGAAATGTTGCAAATCCCATGTGTTTTTTGACCCTGACTCGGGCCGGGCGAAAGGGGGGGATTGGGAAAGGGGGGGTTACGAAATTTGCTGCATGCAGCTGGTTTCGGCCGCACCGAGGGGCCCATTCCTCGATACATAGCCGCCTCCGGCGCCGGGAGGCGCCGGGAAAATCAGCTACGTGAGCTGATTTTCACCCCCCCCCTTTGCTATCCCCCCTTTCGCCCGACCCGACTGACCCTGGCGATCTGCGTGAGGGGTGCCGCCGAATTTCAAACATATTGCGATTCTCATTGGGCTTTGGACTGTGATCTCGCTGATCTGCGTGAGGGGTGCCTCCGAATTTCAAGACATGTGGCAAATCCCATGAATTTTTCGACCCTGACCCCGGCGATCTGCGTGAGGGGTGCCGCCGAATTTCCAGCAGATTGCAAATCTTACTGGGCTTTGGACTGTGGTCTCGCTGATCTGCGTGAGGGGTGCCTCCGAATTTCAAGACATGTGGCAAATCCTATGGGGTTTTCGACCCTGACCTCGGCGATCTGCGTGAGGGGTGCCGCCGAATTTCAGAATTGTGGCAAATCCCATAGGTTTTCCTACCCTGACTCCGCCGATCTGCGTGAGGGGTGCCGCCGAATTTCAAAAGTGTGGCAAATCCAATGAGTTGTTCGACCCTGACCCCAGCGATCCGTGTGAGGGGTGCCGCCGAATTTTAGAAAGGTTGCACATCCAATGAGTTTTTCGACCCTGACCCCCCCGATCTGCGTCAAGGGTGCCGCCGAATTTGAGAAATGTGGCAAATCCCATTGGTTTTTCGATCCTGACCCCGGCGATCTGCGTGAGGGGTGCAGCCGAATTTCAGAAATGTGGCAAATCCTGTTGGTTTTTCGACCCTGACCTCGCCGACCTGCGTGAGTTGTTCCGCCGAATTTCAGAAATGTAGCAAATCCAAGGAGTTGTTCGACCCTGACTCCGCCGATATGCGTGAGTGGTGCCGCCGAATTTCAAAAGTGTGGCAAATCCAATGAGCTTTTCGACCCTGACCCCGCCGATCTGCGTGAGGGGTGCTAATTTCGCCCCCCCATAAATTCTGACAACCTCCCCAGGAAACGGTAGGTTTGCTGGTTTTCGGCTCCCCCACCCCGCGCGGTCCAGCACAAGGATCAGTAAGCAGCATAAAGCAATATTGTAACAGTGGAAACTGGAAACTGGAACTGGTGCAGGGAACAGCAGACTCTGGTCCTACAGCCTGGTGGCCCCGCAAGGGGGCCGCCGGACTCCTTTCCGGGTTCGTGGGCCTATCATGTCTTGGAGCCCTCTGGGGAGGATTGGCGGGTTTCTTGGCAGTCCCAGGGGCCTATCGGGGCCGTTTGGTCCCTCTGGGGGGCTTATTGGGACCTCTGGTGGGGGGGCCTCTTGCGAGCCTTTTGGGGGGCTCTTGGAGGCCGTGCCTCTCTCGGGGCCGCGTCGCGGTGCCCTCGGGGACCTCGGGGGCCATTTGCGGGCCGCGGCACATGGGCCCCAAAGGGGGTGGCCGACCGGAGGAGGGGCCGCTGCACACGGGCCCGCCCCCCTCCCCCGGGAGGCAGCGAGTGGCCAAAACGTGCGTCGAAGTAGTGATTCTGGTATTCTCGCCGCGATCTCTCGGGGCGTCTTGGGCGCCTTCGGGAGGGTGGGATGAGGTCTCCCGGGGATATCTTGGGAGCTTCTTGGAGGGATCCTGGTGGCCTCTTTGGGGCCTCTTGGGGCCTCCTGTGCGCCGCATGGCCGTCTTGGGGCGCCCTCGGGTGGCTTCGGGTGCCATCTGAGGGCTACCTCGGAGGAGATCGATCAGGAGTGGGCGGGGGGTGGGGGGTGCGCGCCCCACCCCCTCCAGTGGCCAACACCTTGGTAACATCCGTGATGTTGGCCTTCTCGCCGGGGCCCCGTGGGGCGTCTTGGAAACCTCTGTTTGGCTTCTTGTGGCTGTGTCGGGGGCCACTTTGGGGCACCTTGGGTGCCTCTTGGGGGGCTTCTCGGGGTCTCCTGGGCACCTCTTGGGGCTGTTTCGGGGCGCCCTCGGGAGCTTCGGGGGCCATCTTGGGGCCATCTTGGTGGAGGTCGATCGAGCGAGGTGCCGCGGTGCATTGGCCCCCCCAGGAGGTCGAAGTGTGGCGGCGCAGCAATCAAATCAATGGTTGTGGCTTCCTTTCCGAGTCCAGAACGAATCTGCGACACATCGCGACTTTTCCCCCGTCCAGGCCCAGGGGGAGGGGGTAGTCAGGGGGATAAGTCCGGCCCCGAAGGGGAATAATTGGGTTGGAAGAGCAAGACCGCTAAACCACTCGCGCCCTGAAGGGCTGGTGGGATCTGGGGGTCTCGGCGGCATCGTTTCGGCCCCGTGGGATTGCAGCCCCTTCAGAACGCCGCTCTGGGGCGTAATTTTAGAGCCGAAGGCTGGGCTTGTAAGTTCGCCGTTGCCGCGCGCACCCCAGGGCCCTTCGCGGGACCATCGCGGAGGGTTAGGCGGCGCGCTTGGGCCGCGACGCAGGGCCGCTAGGCTCTTTCGAGCGCTCTTGGCGGCATCGAGAGGGCGACAATGCGTGCATCGTGGTTTGGGGGGGGGGCGCGACGGGTCGCTCGGGCAGTCGTCTCCTGGGCGCGCCCCGTAGGTTGCCGGGCAGGACGGGCACGCGCCGCAGCAAGTCCTCGGGCTGCCCCGCGGAGGTCATCGGGAGGCGCGCGCGCGGCGCGCGCCCCTGGCCGCGCCCCCGAGGATTCGAAGGAAGCCGTGGGGGAGCGCGACAGGGGCGCGCAGGAGCGGCCAAGAGCGCTCGCTAGCTGCGCGCCATGGGCCCCCCCCCGCAGAGCGCGCGCCGTACTCGATGCAGAGAGCTCGCGGGAACTTGGAGGCGCCCCCCAGCGGCACCTCGTGCCGCGGCGACAGAGCTCGCGCCGTGGGGCCTCCTGCGAAGGGCCCGCGGGTCTGCGCTCCTGGGGGGCGCGGAGGGCCGCGAGGGGCTCGGCGGGCCTGGGGCGGGCCCGGCCGCCGCCCCGCCAGCCGAGCCAGCGGCGGCGCCGAGGCAGGCCGCGGGCGGGAAAAGCTTCCGGCGCCACGCTGGCGGCCCAGCCAGCAGCTGAGCCCCGCGCCTGAGGCGCACTTCTCGAGTGAGGGGGGTCGCGCCCGGCTGAGGCCACGGCGGCGCGGGCAGGGCCAGGGGCGGCCAGGGCGGCGAGCGGGCGGGTTGAGCGGGGGGGTGGGGAAAAACGAGAATTGGAAGGTGAAAGCGCCCAGAACAGGTAGCGGGCGGCGAAGCGACGGAAGCTCCGCGGGAGCGGGGCTTGCGCGCGCCCAGCTCCGACGACGCGAGGCTTGACGTGGGGGCGAAAACCGACGGGGGCGGCGCCGCGTGTTGGTTCCAGCTGTCTCTCATGGGCGGACAGTGTCTGCTGTCGGCATCGACGGGGGCGCCGTCGGTTTCGCCGCGAGCGCGCTTGCCCGACGCCGGTCGCTGCCATTCCTGCGTGGCAGCCGCTGCTTTGCCTCGCCCCCGTCGGCGCATTCCCCGCGACGTCGAGAGGGCCGGCGAGCGCCGGCGGCCGCGTGGAAGGCCCGCGGCGCCCAGCTCCGAGCGCAGAAATTAGCCCGCCCCCTCAGGGGGGGCCGCGACTGCGCGGCCACGAGCGCGGA